AATAATTTTAAATGTTTCTCATCAGAAATTTCTAATAAATTTTATTTACAGAGCGCCACAAACTGAACAATGAAGCTCGTGCACTTGCAAGGCAAAATGAAGAGCTTCGTAGACTTTTGAACAGCTATATGAAAAGCAAAGTATGTTTCTTGAGTGAAAGACTTGTTACCTTTCTACAGGGTGTATTGTTATGCTTATCTTATTTCCTGTTCCAGCAGTCTGGTTTAAGACAAGAGACAACATTGCCACCTTTGTTCAACAAGAAGGTTGTTGAAAATAATGTTTAAATTCAATGTTTCTTCTTGGATCTTTTCTTATGTTCTAATTAAGTAGCCTTTCCTCTTCTCCCCCATTTTAAGTGTAGTTTGGTAATTTTTGGACTTTATATTTCAGTCTTTTTTATCACATACAACTTCTTTATGTTTTTGCACAGTCTTCCTTTTTTGCACTAAGAGGTTTCATCTCTTTTTCTTGATCTGAATTCTCAAGTTCAGGGTTATTCCATGGTTGCACCTCAGAGTCTGCCAAGATCACATAAAGAAGTCCAGCTCCAATGGACATCAGCCCACTAATCAGGAAAACTTTTTTCCATTGTTCGGTTGATTGCTATCAAATTGCATACAAGGAGTTATATGTAAATTTGAATGTAAATCTCAATAGGGAAGTGAAAATTTTGTGTGTACTCACGTTTCCTAGAGTCAGCTGACCGACTATGTACGGCGAGATGAAACCTGGCATGGCCGTAATACAGGCACATATCCCCAGAACTATACCTACACAACGTAAAATACGGATCAGATATTTCAAAAAGTCGCCGAAAGCCGATGAAGGTTCACGCTGGTGGCGATGCTTAGTGCGCGCACTCACTCGCGAAGTTTGGACTGATGTCTACAACGCTGGCCAGTGGACCGGTGGACACCGCGCCATGGAGGCCGGTGGCGAGCGTCAGGCAGATGACGGCAGACATGGCGTTGCACCCTGACCACGCCAGGCCGAGCACGAAGAGACCCATGCCGATGTCACCTGTACCCGAGGGAACGTCACATGAAGTCTGTCGGCTCGAACACTCGACTACCACACAGCCTCACGTACAAATGGCGGTTGCAGTCTTCCGCAGGGTGGTCCTCGAGATGACGCCCTTCTGGAGGAGGTTGTCGCCGACCTGCGAGACGAGTGTGGCGATGGCGCTCCGGCACAGGTGTGGCACCCCGGACAGCAAACCGGACTAGAAGAGCGTGGGCACACACAGCAGAAAAGAAAAAAAGATGTCGGCGCCTGTGTGGCAGGCAACCCAACGTACTCGGTGAACGCCTTCGAGGTAGGCACTCCCGCCAAGCACGCGTGCTTAACAGAACTGCCTACCCGACAGGCGCTCCGCGCCCCCCGCTCACCATGCCGGCGCCCCAGTGGTGCACGTTGCTGAAGTAGGTCGGGGCCTGCGTGAGCAGGGTGAAGAGCGCCCAGATGCCGCCCCACTGCGCCACCACGTTGATCCACATGGGTCCGGACAGCAGCATTCTGCGCCATGGGGTGCGCTGCGTCTGCCGAGGAGGAGGAGGAGGAGGAGGACGGCGTCAACCAACCCGCGCAGCGTGTCGTCCGGCCTTCCCCTCATTCGCACGGGACGTACCCTGGAGTCGCTCACGAGGTTCCCGATGGCCTTCTCGATGGCGCGCCGCTCCTCGGGTGCGATGCGGGGGTGCTTGGCCGGCGAGTCGTAGACGAGCAGGAGCCAGGCGGCGAGCCACAGGGCCGTGAGCAGGGCGCTGCCGTAGAACACGGTGGGCCAGCCCATGGTCTGCACGAGCGCGCCGCACAGCGGGAAGGTGAGGGCCGCGCCCACCGAGCTGCCTGGACGGACACGGCATTGCATTGAATCAAAAGCTCAAGCGCTGCCCTACCAGAGGGGTACTTCACCATTAATTAAAGCGTATGCCAATTTTTCTATTTTTCCTTGTTTATCTATTTTCCTTCATTTTCCTTTATTTTCCCCCCAGT